GACAAACAAATAAATAAACAGTGGATACATGTATATATGAGTGATTACGAGTGTGCAAACACACACAGACACACATAGGGAATCGTTAATATATGCATTCACAAGGATCACCGAAATCAAACTAACTAAATCATTTTCATTAATTAAACTTTCCAAGCTTATGATTTCCTAAAAATAGAAAAAGTATATAACAAAATGAGAAAGAGTAGAACAGTAAAATTGATTACATAGAACCTTCTACCTCTTTAAATTCTCTCCCAATCCCCCCCCCCTTAATATAGTGCAATTTAGTATACAGTGAAAAGGTGTAGAGTATATAAAAAAAATACTAGAACAATGAAATTAAACCAATCGCCACCACTATTAAGTATGTTGAGTGAAAATAATGAATAGAATAAAATAAAAATTTTCTCTCTCTATGATAGTAATAACAACACCTGTATTTCTAACGATTGAACTTTTTTAGATTTTAAAAATTTCCATTTTTTTCGAGATTTCTGTGATGCTACAATACCAGTAACAACTTTGACTCTTTTTGGACGTGAAGGATCCTCATATGGTGTCTAGATGAAGAAATTAGTTTATCATTGAGGATAAAATATAAATATATTACATAATACTTTGCATAGTTTAAAAATGAGTTCTAAGTATTCCTCTATCTTGATACTTGAAACCTTTGAGTAGTGTATACTGTCATGTTGTACTTTATGAGGAAATATCAATATCATTTGAACATATATGCTTATGTATAAAACGATAAAGTGATTAATGATGGACCATGCCTAGCAGTGGAATCCAGGATGCTCATTTCATCCTATTTTGGACTCATCAGCTGGATGTACCTGCTTCCCACTGGATGCTAACAACATCACTCACTGGAAAGCAGGTACATCCAGCTGGTGAGTCCCAAACAGGACGAAATGCGCATTCTGGATTCCACTGCTAGCCACGGTCCATCAATAACATAATTAGAACGCTAGCAATATCGGGGCATCCGCACAGGAGCCCATATGCTAATAGAGACCGACGAACCAATTACTTGCTTATGAAATTTATACTAAAAAGTATTCACCTCTAGTTTAGCCCATAGCTCAAGTAATAAAAAAGGTTTCTTCAAGAGATATTCCTACGATATAATGAATTCTTGAACCGTGTATGACAGGTTTAGGTGTTATACGATGTAATTTGTTTGTTCTTAGCTATCAAGATGAAAGTTTCTTCCTTTTGGGGGGGGGGGACTTTAGAAAACTGAAAAAAACCACAGTCCGTATACAACAGCAAGCACTTCATACCTGTTATTAGACGTTAGTTAGTTGGAGGCAATCGGTAGGAAGCCCTGCTCCTCCTAGGTTTCGCGCTCGCTGGCACTCGTCAGCAAGGCGTATCTATAACCTCAACTGAATTGATGTTCCGCCTGAGATTCGAACCCACGTCACCCAGCTATTCAGGCCGAAAATGACCTACTGTAGGACTGAGTTACATGCATTGATTATTCAAGGGAAAGCAACCAATTTCATATTGTCTACTCCTGCATGTAGATCGGATCCTATCAATCATATTTTCTCAATGGTAAAGTAGCTGACTACAACATTAGGTGACGGTTCAAGTCTCAGGCGGGACATTAGTTCCGTTTAGGTTGAAGATATGCCTTGTCGATGAGTGCCAACAAGCACGAAACCTAGCTCCAGCAGGGCTTCCTGACGACTGCCTTCAACCAACTGAAATCTACTAATGTGCACTGCTATGCTGAGCCTCATAGCTTGGTAGCCGCACTGCGAATACAGCCGATAGGATACGGTCTGCATTTAGGACTAGACAAAGTGAAAATGGTTGCTATCCTGCTACCAGTCAACATATTTTACACCTCTATGTGATAATCGTCTAACTTGAAATCAGTACAGTGATTAACTTTATCGAATCGTTTGGCCTTTTTAACGACAAACGGATTCGAAATCGTTGGTAAGGTGTTCATGAATTAGACTATTCTCTTTCTTGTTATTTAACACTTATGATTTCTTGTTACTATTTAGGGTGGAATTACTCAACCTCTGTTGGGTACTGGGCATTAGCTTTGATTCTTAGTGGGAGAAATATCACTCCCTGGGAATAAAGATGCGTACAGCTGACGAATCCTAAACAGGATGGAACGCATATCCTGCATTTGGCTGATAGTCACCAAGATAAATATTCTCCTTCTTTTTCAACTTAGAATCGCTGGTGCTGCCAACTGAATGTTTTTCTTATGATCTGGAATTGACGCTAGTGATCTTTCTGTTGGATAGTTTGGAGCTGAATCCTTCTAAATATTAGACTGTTAACTTTAACCTCAGGCGTACATATGACTTCTATAAGCTGTCTCGGTCTCATGACCCCTGTAGTATTGATGGTTACCTATCTTGGACTAAGTCTTGCATGTGATCTTTCTTGGTTATCTCACTTTTTGTTGACTTCTAAGAAAATCTTTCGTTTGACGTACTGCGTAAGGAAGAGGAAAGTGTCTGATACAACTCAGCCTCTATTTTTACAATTTATCGATTCGTACATTTTACGTATTCTTCTTTGTTGTTCCTCGCTGATCTTTTCTAGTCGACTAAAAAAAGACTATGTTATATTGAGTAGGACTTTGAAAGCCGTCAGTAGGGTAAGTGCTGTGCCTATGGTTTAACTGATTAACATTGTAGCTGAGAGACACTTGAATTCATGCCGGTGACTGGATGTGGTTACTTTAGCTGATAATAAACATCCACTTCATCCACAGCTCTCTCTCTCCCCATGTATCTTCTCAAGGAAGACAAGAACAAACTGTTTACATTTGAACACTCATACGGCTAAATCTGAGAATTCAGCTGTGTCTGCCTTACCTAGCAAGCATCTAGTGTGAAGAGAAATATGTAAGAGAGAACACACTTGTCAACTTTGTAACAATAAGTAATCAGTCTTGGACGTCGTAGCTCAGTTGGTAGAACATCGAGTAGGTTCGAATCCGACTGCCGTCCAAATTTCAATCTCATCTTCATTTATCACCCAGTATCAATACTAGTCTACAAAACCACGGCTATCTCAGATAGTCAGATGATAATCAATATGATGCTCCCTCTCTCTAATTCACTTAGATTGTGATCGGGATTAGATGCACTGACAAGACAGCCAGTGTGCGATCAAACGACAGTAACGCGTCGGGGATTCACATGATAGTCGGGAAAAACACTTAGTGACTGGTTGGAGTAAAATAAAAATCTGGACAGTGGTCGTATCTTGTAGATCAGTTGTTAGAACATCGGGCTGGTAACCCTGTGATCGGTTGTTCGAATCCGACCGCAGTTCAAATTTTCATTTCATCTTCAATCAGCACCCAGTATCACCATTTTAACCATTATTGTGAAACGTTTCCTCGTTACTTATATTATTTACATCATTTAAATAGCCATAATTAACACTATTCGTAGTGCTGTAAAACGGTATGCACCTTTTTGGTTGCAACATCATATGCTGATAATTTCAAACTATATCAGAAAATTATTTGGAATGAAATTATTATTATTGTTATTTTTACTATATACACAGTTCATTGAATTAGGGTTAACGCAACTTCTTTAGATCAACATACAACAAGAAAATTGTGATACTAAGCGGGTGAAAGTAATTTTTACTATCTGACTGGTAAATTTTTGAGTCTTTTGCTGTGCGACAATACAAATCTCAGTTCTCAAAGTATCCGTTCATAACAGTCCAAAATGATTCGTTAAATAAACGTTGATAATCTTGCGATATACATTTTATTAACTTGACATCACCATTGGTTATCTGAACGAAATCCAACTCAGTGAAAAATTTCGATGGTTTATTAAAATGTTATTTGACCTTGATAGTCAACAATTCAATGAATTGATGTTCGTTTTGTTGGAGACTACGTGCTGGAGGATATTATATGAGTCGAAAACATAAATCTCAGATAAGTGTTGTCATTGGTCGTATTCTTTTTTGTATTTTAGAGTGTGATTCATTGTGTGGGTGGACTACGCATATAAGATTAGGCAAATGTATTTGAGACCAATCACGTGCAAGGTCAGTGTTAACAGTGAACAATGGACAGATTCACATACTTAAGATAACTACGACCGGACAAACTTATAACAGTAGTCAGCTCTGCTTCACTTAGTTTTCTTACTTGGTGGCACTGGTCACCAAAGCTTATCTTCAACCTCAAGGAGACTGCTGTCCTTTCTCTGTGCCATTCAAATACTGAATTAAAACACGTACTTTTTTCAATGACATATGCGTACTGGTAATAACGAGTGCAAAAAATCTCAGATCTTCGTAGGTAGAACCAAATTTACAATCGTAATTTTGTATACCCATAAAATACAAAAATACAGACGAAAGAATGCACCGAACAGCCTAGGCAATTTACACACTCTTAACCATACTACTATTAATGCTGGTATTGGAAGTAGTATTGTAGCAGTAGGATATAAAATGCCAATCAATCTTAAATGTGAACATATGTCTAGTGTGGACTTTGATTTGTCTACAAAAGAAGCCGATTCACTCAAGAAATAAGTTGTTACTGAATAGTAATCTACGCCGTTTAGATAAAATCTCTTTTAATTTCCCGTTGTTGATTCAACCGAAGAGATCGGCTACTGTTATAAGGTGTAATAGGTAAACTACACTATACAAATCGCACAAGAAGTCGCTATCATTATTAGGTGGATAGGGCTCTAGCGTTTGATGTGATTGGTCCTGGGTTCCGGCTTTAGTGGGAGCAACACCACTCACTGGGAGCTAGGCACATGCAGCTGACGAGTCCGAAATGGGACGAAACACGTATCCTGGATTCCACTGCTAGCCAACAGCGTCCATCCTCATGAATACTGGCTTCTCGAGATAACCAGTCATTACAAGACATGACAACTCTAGACCATTCATCTTTCTGTTAATTACAAATAACAATAATAGTAATGATTGAACTGGACAATAAACAATTGCTGTTTACTTACAAGTTTCTTCTTTTGCTTTTGTTTCCTCTTAGTTGGTGACTGTATCATTACACTGGGATCAGTTAAGCTGGCCTCTTGCGTTGGTCGAGCACTGTCGGTTAATGCTGTTTCCATTATTGGTATTGTTGTTTAAGATAAATGTTGAAGAAAGCAAAACAAAATATTATTTTCTATCCCATTTAGACAAAGATTTATTAAATTAATGGTGTAGTGACGCTGTCCCCCCCCCCCCCCACCAGGTTGAAGGAAAATTCAACAGATATGCTTAAGATGTTATCACGGTTGTTTGTATCTGAAACCGATAGAAAGTTGTTGACAATTCCAGTGATTAGGTTTTGATATAAATTGCTACACTTCTTATGGGAACGTTGACAACGAGATGAAGACAGCTCAGCATCAAGGTGAACTGAAAAGTGATCAGCAATAGCTATGCACTCAGTCTAAAGTAGACATATTGGGAAAGTGTTTCCATACCCATAAAGAAAGACTAATCTCACAAGCCATATATATTTCAACAACGTCAAATGTTTTGGACAGAAGAGGCGAAATAAGCCTGTAACCAATCCACTGATGATAGCCTATTCCAATCGAAACTTTAGAAGAAATGACAATTATTGATTGTTTGTTAAGTCCTCAACCAACGGTTTTGGTTATTTTACCAACCCCAGTTAGACATTTTACACTTCTCTACTGACTCAGACTAACAGGAATATACTTCATGAAGTGGTTGTGTGCTTTACTCTGTCCACTCTATACCTCATTCTAACTTGTTTCTGCTCAGATTAGTATTTCTTTATTGGGGTAGATGGTAGGTTAGTATGCGCTGTACCATTTCCGTCACGTCAGTAAGCCTAAACATCCACAAACTCACTGACTGACTTGTTACTCTTACTCATTACCCTACGCCTAAACTCAAATATTTACTGAAGGAGAGACACGTAAATGATGCTAACAGGGTAACAATGATCGGCTATGTGCAGTAGTAGTGATGGTATTAATGTCAGTAGTAGTAGTAGGTAAAATATCTAAGTTTCCATTTTTTAAATTTTCATGATGGTGTCTTTGATTAATGTACAGAATGATACCATTTTTAGTATGGTAGATGACGATCAGTGACTTTCAGTGTTAGCGATAACCCTGGAGGATCTATTCCATGGATCATTAACGACCATCTCCAATTGCATTGAAATACGTTATTCATTCCGTCTAAAATCAGAAATCATCCCATTGGCATCTTCGTCACCAATAAGTTTATCTTGCAGCTTAGATCAAACTATGAATTACTGCAACCTTTAGTGATACTAAAAGCGAATATAATGGAAGCAGAAAATTTCGTCGTCCTTGAGTAACTACCCGGTGACCTTGAGCCGACCAGTTCTTGGGTTTCTAACGATACTTAAGAACTAATCTAGGTAATCTATTGCTTTTACCTGTTTAAAGTAAAAGTACTCACGATAAAGATGCTCTTCTATATGACCATAAAACATTAGACCATCTGGACCGTGATGTGAACGTGAATAAACTTTAAAGTGGTCCTCCGTCACCTCTAACTTATTAGTATGAGTCCCTATGAGATTTAGAAAAGAAACTTGGTTCATAACATGTCAAGTAAAGATTTACAGATTTCGGAGGACAGAACTTGAAAACTATACCATAAACACAGCAAAAAGTAGCGAGTAGGGTTTATTTTCAGTACCGGAGTGAAAAGAAGGGTCATGATTTGGTTTTATGGTGTGCAACTTTCATACTAAAGTATACTTCAGTGAGAACTTATCCTTCATAATTTTGCCCTTTATGGGGGATGTGGTCACACGAAAACCCCCTCGAAATTAGCAAAGTGCGAGATCAATATTTAAGAAATAATTCCTCTCAATCAGCTTCCCAGAACTACTACATAATCGCCTTAAAGGTGATTGGTCACTTCAAGGTCGTTTATAGTTACTGAATGACAATGAAATTCTGTAGCCCCATCTAAAAGATATGAAAAAGGCCACGTGTGAAGGTCATGTCAAACCTAAAGTAATATGTCTGATCAAGTAGGAAATTTATAAAATATAATAGTTGTACAATAATTCAACAAAAAAAACAATCAATAATTTACTTTGTATATCCATAAGTAAATCTGTGTGTGATGTTCTTGGAGGTACTTTAAAATTTTGAAAATCTGTTAACACATGTACACCAACCATTGGTTTTTGACCAAAAGCTCGATGATCCCGTACACAAATATTCATTGGTGGTAGATAGATTTCTTCTTTCGGTAAGAGAACATCCAAAAATAATAATGGTGATGAAAAATTAGGATTTTTTTTCACATTTTTAATAATTGTCGATTCAACAACTTTCCACCAATCTCAAATTCAACTGATGGTGAATTGACACTAGCCAGTTTATATTTACGCATTGATCGAACACCCCAGCATAGAATTTCTATTCTAGTACGTTGAAGTACTGGACGTATACCTTCAGGTACATTGAATAGTGTACCTCGACGTGTAGGTGGTGGTGGTGGAGTCTTACCATCAAGCTAAATAATTTTTTTTGAAGAGATAGCAAGAGAAAAAAGAAACGATAACCATTGCTATTTTTAGTAACTTGTTGACCTTGAAAATATAAACAATAGAAGTTATTATTGAGGATACCTATGATATGTACACAAGATTTTATGTCTAAACTTTGATTCCCTTTCAGTTTTTTTCTAATTAAATATATATATACTCTGAATGTATCACATAATCTTGTATATTTTGTAAAATGATTTCAATCCTCCTGTTTTTTCTGAATCTAGCAACAAATGAACAGAAAACAGTTTTTTAGATGAAAAGACGTTTTTAAATGTACAAAAATACATCTTTTTTTTTTATCCTTGGATACTTAGCTCGAATTACAGATTCTCGTACTGGCTGAAGGAATTACCAACATCAAGTGAAAGCTCAGTTTTCTATTTATTCCCCATTCCAGACCAGATATTGATCTGACATCAGTTGCCTGTGTAATATTATTGCCTATATTAATGTTATTATTAACATTATTCAGATGCTGTCATCATTTCGCTTAAAAATATTGTACTGGAAATGAATTAGTTGAAATATTATTATAATATGCTTAGAATTCCATATTGTATAGAGCATGATGTCTGGAATAAAGCGATTACCATTACTATTTGTTTTATTACTTGTATTATTCCGTCATTGACTGAACCCAGTTGATTGGTCACCGTTGGTATATGTCCTTCTGCGCGGATGCTTCGATATTGAAGATGTCTCAGTTTTATACTAATGATGAATAATGACTAGTAGTAGAATCCAGGATTTGTGTTTCGTCCTCTTTCAGACTCATCAGCTGGACACACCTAGACCCCAGTGTATGGTATATTATCTGAAGTAAAGCGACTGTTATTAGTATTATCATTTTTCGGATTAATATCTCGATATTTTGATAACAGTGTATCTTCAACTCTGCCATTGAATGATACTGGTTACCATTTCATAGGAAATGTGATCTACTTTAAACAATTTTGTAAAGGTTAAAAAACAAATTCAGGTGGGGAAAATGCTAGAATTAAAAACATTTGAGCCATTCAATTGTAATCCATTGAATGAATGATTATTTACTTGGAATCAAACCTGATACTTTTGAGATCGATCTCTCACAAGGTAGTGGGTGAGCACTGTTGATGAGAACCTTTCTATGATAGAGTGGCTAAAATGTACCAACAGATTTTCAATGCTTTTTCAACTAGTATCAATTAGTGATGAACACTACTTTCAATTTTGTACTTGTTTCGTTCTAGATCACCAACCGATCAGTCTAGGCTACTCATATGATGTCATAATAATAGGTAGTATTGTTTCATGAGTCCAGCTTTTTTGTACTATTTTCACCGGTAAACCTGAAGTTACTCAGCAAAATTTATTCAATATGTTGTACATTGAAGTGTAACTCAGGTGAACGTGTAAAGTAAACATTAAAACCATCAGCAAGGGTGTCATGGAGGAGATATATTTAGTACATAGATACAATGTCTAAAGTAGCCTTCATGACTTAGCAGTGTAGGTGTCTGATTACTGACTTACGAAAGAAAGTAATCTGTACTCCACCTATTTAGGTTTAGGTAGCTGCAATGAGGAGGGGTGTAGTGAGCAAACTGTATTATTTCATTATAGTGATTATATCGACATACCAAAATCAATTCGAATGTTGCCAGTATTTCTCCGCCTTTTTTACGTTGTTTCTCAACTGTATACCACTGAAGCACATTTGCCCATGTTGTTTCTGTGTCTAAACGAACAGATGGTGTGATCTAAACAAAGGAAGAAATATACAAAATTGGTTTTTACTACTAGTATAATTTGTAAGTAGCTGAAATAGTATCCCTGAAATTCTCCTGAGGGCCTTTCAGTTATGCGAGTAATTGAATGAAGTTTAGAAATTTCAAGACTACTAATTCACTATTGGCATCAAACCCTGCGATAATGACACTAGTTCCAGAGTCTTACAAGTTCCAGAGCTAGTCAGTAGTCATTTCGTCAGGATCTAGAAAAATACATATCCAACTCTAATTCAAATTTCGCCTTTGTCACCTGGTTTTAAATGCTATGACATTTCTTCTGATATCAGTGGTCTCAGAAGGAAAGTTCAGTTTCAAAATCTCATCAGTCAGACATCTGACTTCAAGTTGGATAGTTCATAACTATCGTTTGGCTCGATGAAAATCGTAACACTACTGAAGGGATGTAACCATATTGATAAATTATCTAGCCTATCATCCTACAGGATAAAGCTCTACAAACCACTTAAAAAGAAACATATAATGGGAGAAAAAGAAAATCGTTTAAGAAAAAAGTTTAAAGATCATGGAGGAAGAACCAGTTGTTAAGATAGACCATTATAAACAAGTCTTCCTGACTGAGGTGGACTGGATCATGCAGCAGACAACTGTGAGGAGCGAGAAGATGGGTGTGCGATGTTTGACCGATGAAAAGACCCTAGAAGATTTAGATTTCGCCGAAGATGATTTATGTCTTACGTCGCACGAACTCGAAGATCTACAGGCAAAACCAGCATATTGACAGAAGAGGCAACAAAGAAAGTACTTCCTTCAGGTGAACCTAGAGAAGACAGCGGTGATGAATAAAGCCAACCAACAACAAGCAAAGATCACCATCAACGGAAGAAACCTGAAGGAAGTAGTCTTGTTTCGACTATAGGCGGCACAGATGAGGACATGAAAGCCAGGGTCGGAAAAGCAACACAGGCTGTCATTAATCTTAGGTCGGTGTGGGATCTACTGCACTCAGCACAAAGCCTGAACAAGATCCAGATTTTCAACACCAATGTCAAGTCAGTGCTGCTACATGGTTCAGAAACTTGGCACATCACGAAAATCACTTCCAACAAACTACACACATTCATCTGCAGCTGCTGCCTACGCTCGATATTGAATATGAGAATAATAAGAATAAGCAACAAGGAACGCTGGCAACGAACCAGCCAAGAACCTATTACCCAACAAATATGCGGAAGAAAGTGGAGATGGAGATGTGGAGATTGGGCATACACTGAGAACGCCGATTGGGACATCACGCATCAGGCCGGGCACTCGAGTGGAATTCAAAAGGGAAACGATGAGTTGGGCGTTCGAGGCTAGGGTGACATGGAGGAGATCATGTGAGGAAGAAATGAAAGCTTTGGGCAGTGGTGGAGCCAGGTTGAAAAGACTGTAGAGAAGAGAATGAAATGGCGAAGTGCTACTGAAGCCCTATGTTCCATTGGAACCCAAGGGAAAAATAAATAATAACAATAATCATAAACAAGTGAAACTATGCATTTCAATTATCCCTCGAAACAAACATTCTTCATCTACCAATAAACAATACGACCAATTCTTCAAATCATCTAAATTACCTAAAATAATGGTAAATATTCTTGGACTTAAAAGAAAGCAGCCTTAAGGAAACCATTTGATTACATTGAATTAGTAAAGAATTTTCATATATCCATAGGAAAATGCTGTCTGTTGATTGTAACTCTCTATTTATAGGTGTTTCAATAACTTTGGGGTTGTTGAGCCTTTCAACTACCTGAAACAATTACATTTCGAATGCATCTTTAACTTCCACTTCAGGTTCAAAGAATTCTACATTCAGAATGATGGTATAGAAATGCGATGACTTCTTGATTCATTTATAGCTTAATATTTCATCGTCTATTTTGAAAATAATGTTGTTTAGTCATTATTCAGATAAGTCTGTATTTTCAAAAGGTATATCCGTAATATCTTTATCATATGTGATCAAGAATTCTACTTGAGCGACCTTCTTTATACTCCCAATGATGATGGTGAATCCATGCCTAGTATCCTTCCCCTGACCTCAACATTGCTCACATGGTGACTTGATCAAAGGCGAGCAACGCTGAGAAGACATCTGTGATCAAAACCCTTTAATCGCTTCATGTAGTCTACTTTTAAGGGCCGTGTCTCACAGTCGTATAGCCGAACAAAAAGAACTACAACGTAGTATACTAGCTCTTTATTTTGTAGCCAGATATCTCGCCGGAGTCACAAGTGACGCAGTTTGGCAAATGCCAAAGGGACCTTTTGCATCTGAGCTGAGACTTCATCAGCTACCGTGCTGTTTGAGCTGGTACAACTCCCCAAGTAATTGAATTAGTTAACATATTCCATCAGTTCACTCCTATCATTTAACTGAGAGTACTTGCAGCAGACTAGTCCTGGAGCATCACCTTATTTTGACAGGTGCGAAGTACATGGCAGTTAAACAAAATCAGATTTCTGCTCAAGACCCTGGTTTTTGTTACGGTCTTCACCTAGCAGGGTAATCTCGTCTGCATACTCCAAGTCAACCGTATGTCATTGAGGGAGTAAAAAAATCCCTGCGAAGTCAAGCGTGCTTATGGTTATGTTCACTAGTTAAATAAGGACGGTTGCAGTTTGTATCCCTGGTGCATACTACTAGTTGTCATGCTACTAACAAGCAGATTTGATAATTCTATCCGTAGGCGAATTTACAGAGAATCAAAATGGAGTAGACAGTTTAACACATTCCAAAGCTGCTCACTCATAAGTGAACCAACCTTCTTCACATATTATATTCAGGGATTTGTAGGATCTGTTCTGAATATAAACTAGACGGTGAGTTAAAGTATCTATATAACAATCAATTGGAAAACACAAATCCACTCAGGCTGCTTCACTGCAAAAGCCATAGCCACAACAGTAATCGACTGCCTCAAAGAAAACTGTGTATGCACCTGGGCTTTAGTGGAGACAGTGTGCTGAATTCTTCAAAAATCGCCCCAAAAAATCTTTAAGGAAGATATTGTCTTCAGGTAGTTTGAGAAAAACATTCCCGAGTGAACAACTAATCCATCCATGCATTGATTTTGTGGAATATTATTACTATGATGACTTGTGTGTTCAAACATACGTGTCGCATGTATGAGTTTGTGTGACCGAGTCATGAGTAGGGCGGACATTCTCAGTGGTTATTCCTCCTTTACATGACCTTGACTAACACTATCATCCTATTGGCTATCTTTTAAATACAACTGCTTCCATGCTGCTGACTGTGTTAATGTAAATCCAGGTATTTAATACTATTTTCTTGAGCTCATTGGGACTGTTTTTTGGGAATGACTGAAAAATACGTATTAAAATTACAATCCTCCTTCACCTTACATTATTCTGAAGAACAGATTATAGTGAAGAGATCCTGAATGCAAATAAACTTAATTCATAATTCAGTCCGAAAAACAGCACAAATACATTTACAAAGCTTTCAAAAATTAGATCGTCGACGAAGAAGATTGTTTGACTTTATAGGCCACCCCAGTAACTGCTGAACAGACCAGTCAGGTTTAGGTATTTCTCCTGGGAAAGTACTTTGTCATAAAATAGAGGGATGTAATTGGTTATCACGTCAGTTACTACGCTGGCCTTTAAACTCGCCCTGTGTTGATAGCAATTTCAACATAAAAAATGTGGAGATTGAGTTTTAAAAATTTTGCAGTAGTAAAATAAATCAACTAAGAAGGCAGTGGAAAACAGACTGTGAATTTCTATCTGTATGAGACTCATCAACTGAATGTGTTTGTATAATAAAATGTCTTAGTCTGTATAATTCTTAACTTTCCAAAATGATAGATATCACATTCAAATATCAGTGACGACCTCATCACAGATACAGATGCAATCAGTTGATAATTATCTTCAGTGTGTGTATGTATGTATGTATGTATAGATGAAGGGAAATGCATGCCAAGGCTTCCGTTATTAGTGTTTAAAAAATTTAATTGTTATAGTTACTGGGTGATGTTTGAGGGTGAAATGAAAGTCTAGGCTACGGGAGGATTCGAACCAGTAATCTCTGGGTCCTGGCAATAAGAGCCAGCTCCTTACTTGGTAGAAAATGGTTCCGGACACCTGAGGGTCGATGGTTCGGATCCTTCCACGGCCTAGATTTTCATCTCATCTTCAGTTAGTACCAAAAATAAAATCTATCGAAGCACAGCCATCTCAGATAATCAGACTAATTTTCATTATTTATCAAGTTAATTCTACATTTCTTAGTCTCACCTGTAATCTTCCTAGAAAATGATCTGAACTCAACTGATCATAATCAAATAATTCAATGGTAACTGGTGGTGGATCATTTAGTATGCTTTTTGGATCACCACACATTTCAATATGTTCAAAAATCAATGTTTCATCCCATGTTGGACATAATGTTTGTTGAATAATTTGTGTTTCTTGACTATAACCTTGAAATGAACATCGAACAAATGGATCTGATAGGCCAGACTGATCAGCAGCTAGTAGACTACGTGCTTGAAAGATGTAAGCACGTAAATGCCAAATATGCGAGCTGAAATGAATAAAATGCATTGAAATGTATATTATACAATGAAAAAAATTGACATTGATGCATAGTTTGATTGTTCAATTCTAGGAGTGCTAGTCATCATATACTATAGATAACATTTCTGGATGAAAGAGTGATAGAGGATAGTGGCTAGTAGTGGAATCCATGGTGTACGTTTCATCCTATTTAGGACTCATTAACCGTATGTACATACTTCCCAGTAAATGATGTTGTTCCCACTAAAACTCTTGCTAGACTTTAAAAGCTACCTTACGAACGACTGAAATGATGGGTTAGGCTCTTGATTTCATGAGAAAGCTAACTTTCAAGGCAAAATCAAGAAACTCAATTGGCTATATCGATAGGTGTTCGAGTAAGCTTTTGAGTCAATTCATTGACGTATAGGTCAGAGTGTTACTTTTTCAGTTTCAACATTTTATGCACTAAATGAAATGAGTGTTATTAAGGCGTATTTAGCCTTATTTTTAATTTTTAAACCTACGCACAAAGATTAAATTTAAAGGATACCCTAGCAACAACTAAAATAACCAATTAGACTTCCCAATTTTACTAAAATCCACCTTTCCAGGCAAAATAAAGAAACTTAATTGGTTATTTTGATCGTTGCTATGGTGGTCTTTAAAATTGCCTTTTACAAAACCTGATTGGTGGCAAATTACTAAGGTTGATTGAACCTCTAGTTGTAAGAAAGTTTAGGCCGGTTTTGCATATTCCAGAATAACATTTTGTTACATTTTCATCCAATTACTTCGTCACTCAGTGTCAATACTAAAGTAGGTTGATATACTGTCCTTCTCTTTTTGTGCAAACTACCAAGTTGACTCTTAATCATATAGATTATTTTCTGAAACCCATTTATCCTTTTAGGATGGCATTCATCACCGGTTGACGTCATTTGGAGAGCCAGTGAGAAAGTGGGAGCACAGAAAAGCTATTTTTTTCTAGTATGGACTCCTCAGCAGTGAGTACCTATTGTTCTCTTTTCGCTGGGGATCGAACTCAAGACCCTGAGGTTCTGTGGCCACCTTGTTATCATTGAACACTGGGTCAGGATCTGATAGTCCGATTTCCTACTTCTACTAGCTGGAGATATAGCGTGTCTTCCGTCTAATGTCGCCGTTGAGTAACCGTTTTCATATCCGACTTGGTTTGCACTACTGATCATGACTTCTTTAATTCTCATTGGCGACTTGCTTCGGGATGAGATTTCCCTAAGTTCTAATGGAAAATCTTAACCGGTGGGGCAAAACAAGCTGGACGTGAGGGCATGTACTCAGCGATGGCATTGGTTGGATGTCATATTATAGAGTAAACTGTCAAAAGTAGAAAAATGTGGACCACTGAACTCCGAGCCAGTGACTCAATACTCAACGTGATCGCTAAGAGACCCGAAGTCTTTAGTTTGACTTGTGGCAGGGTTATGGTTGTACACTGCTGAAGTGTTTCATACTAGCGCAAAACAGCTGTCCAGGTCTCCCAGAGTTTTGACGGTTCCCCCACTGGTTTCAGTCCGTGAAGAATACTACCTATTTTAAAAATACAATTTACATTCATCCAGTGTCCACATTGGTATATCTATCTGTTTGTCTCTAAGATCAGTATAACACATCACTTTGAGATTAATCATTATGGTTATGCATGTTTGGCTTTAGAACCATGACACAGTAACCTCGACACTTCATTCACTCTGGCACTTGGTAGTTGGTTACAACAAGTTCTACTTTCTTAGCTTAAGTAAGTGGGCAAAATTACTAGTCATGCATCATAATTACAGAATATGAATGGCTTTTAAGGCCACTGTAGCAACTACTAAATTAGCCAATCAGATCTCAAAATTTCGGCTGGTGAGGTAGTTTTTCATGAAATAGAAGAAAGTGAATGATTACCCCAGGAGTTGTTAGGGTGGGCTTAAAATCACTCATGAAAACAATGAGAGCAGCTAGAATCAACCAATCCATTATGACTGTCATTAAAATGTCTATCTTTTGTTCTCATTCTCTGATATTCTAATTAGGCAGCCTACTCTTTTGAGGCGTTGTACATTTTCTGCAGATTTCCCGAAATGCTATATCATTGAGCATTGTATAGGCAAGGGGTCTTTCTTCGCATAAATCAGCTTCAGGGGTGAATAACATGAGAACAGTACGGATATGAGTCCCATGTTCAACGTGTTTCATTGTTTCTGGTAGTAGGCCGTAGGCTCGAACCCTACTCCGCCAGCCTAGGTCCGAGTGTGTGCATATGAGTACATGTGGTTGCTGCATACAATCCAATTTTCTTTTCTTATTCAACATCGATAAATTTTCTCTGTAAGATAGTTTCATTACTCACTTTGAAAACGCATAAATATCCTTGGAACAGTGAGATTTTCTTTCTGTGAGGGGGAAAATATCATGCAATAGTGGTTAGTGATTGATAAATGATGTTAGAAAATGTGATAAAACAGTTTTATTCATGAAAGATTTTATGAAAGCATCAGGAAAAGCGGTTTTATTCACAATCAAAAATGTATGCATATGTTTTGATGAACAAAATGATTGATAGGATTCGTCAGCACACAGACCTGGACAACATGAAATTGGTTACTCTCCTGTGATTAATTAATCTGTCGAATCCATTCATACAGGAGCTCAGTCGTTACCCGAATAGCTCAGTGGTAACGTCGCAGATCGCAGCACTTAGCGGCGAGTTCGAATCCCAGGAGGGTTATTAGTTCCTTAGAGTTTGCAGATACACATGGCTGACATGTACTAACAAACATGAAATCTAGGTTGAGCAGGACTTCCTATCGATTGCCTCGAACCATCTCACAACATCCTTAGTGCATTAGAAAGCTACAGTGTTTCATCAGGCATGGTAACAAATAAAGTTACTGTGTCAGCACTCTCAGTTGGAGAAACACTGGTGACTTAGGAGCACTGAACAGCTTTTTTGTCCTAGTATGCGACTTCTCAGCATTGCGCGCCCATGACCCCGCCAAGGAACCCTGGCAACACAGCAATGAAAACAATACGAAGATGTACAGATATCAGGAGATTTATTTCTACCTAATAAATCACTTTGAAAGCAAAACCCCCTCAAATAAATTGTCCCCAATTTCGAAAATGACTTCAGTTTTAGCATTTTGATCAGCCTCTGCTATTCATAACAGTTTCAATACTGTAGTTTTGTTTGTTACCATACCCAACGAATCACTTTAATTTTTTAAAACACTTCAGGCATTTTCGCCAAAATCGTCTGTTTATGTATGTGCGGTTGTAAAGCTTAATGAACAAAATCACCGAAAAACCATTTCTTCGTTGATTCAGTTGTTCTCCTGCTTTCTTGAAGCATTCAGTCTACCAGTGAAAAGCTCAGGTTATTGTACACAATGAATAAATATATTTTATTCACGAATATTGTACTATTAGGAACTGTTAAAATAACCAATCAGATTTCTGAATTTCATTTGGGAAGGTGGTTTTTTATAGAATACAGAAATGCAATTGGATACTACAGCAGTTGTTGGGCTTTAAATTCACTGGCGCTAGGTGAAATGAATGAGAATGGAGAATTGTTTGCAGAATTCTGTGCATTCAACGATTTGGTGATTGGAGGCAGTGTGTTCAGGCACAAGATATCCACAAAGCGACATGGATTTCACCAGAAGGACACACTAAAAATCAAATCCACTTTATCTCAATCTCAAGAAAATGGAGACGCAGTCTACTTGACACAAGGTCAAGGAAAGGAGCAGATGTAGGTTCACACCACTCACTGTCTAGTGCAAGGAACCTTCCAAATCAAGTTAAAAGCCTTCAAGGAAGCTGGTGATAGACCTCAATTCAAGTACAACACTCGGAAACTGAAGGATGAAACTACAAAGGAGATCTTCACGTCAGCCATCAAGACAAAATGGGAGACATCGAGCAACATCCCTGAAGAAATCTGTGTGGAAGAACACTGGAAGTCTTTGAAAGAGATGTGGAAAGAAACCTGGATAACCGTATTAGGAAGGAAGAAGAAAGAAGATAAGGAATGGATCTCGACGGATACATGGAAGCTGATAGAGGAGAGGAGGATGGTGAAGCAGAAGATAAACCAGTGCAAGGATGCTCAATGACAAGAGGAACTGAGCACAATGTATAAAACACTGGACAAAGAAGTGAAGAAGAGTGCACGCAAAGACAAAAGACACTTCTACGAAACACTGGCAAGTGAAGCAGAACAGGCTGCAGGTAAGAGAGACCTGACGACATTGTATCAAATAACCAGGTTAATATCAGGGAAGAGACCAACACAGATGAAACCAATAAAAGATGAAGAAGGAAATTTAATTACAAAAGAAGAGAAACAGAGGAAACGATGGGCCGACCACTTCAAGAAGCTCTTGAATCGACCACCACCTGCACTTCGTCCAGAAATACCACCTCCAGCCGCTGAACTACAAGTGAACATAAATCCCCCAACAAAAATGGAAGTCCTGAACGCCATAAAGCTACTGAAATGCAGGAAAGCAGCAGGACCAGATGGGATACCGCCAGAAGCACTGAGAACAGATGCAGAGACAACAGCGGACATGCTCACACCACCATTGCAGAAGGTGTGGAAGGAAGAGAAGGTACCTGACGATTGGAAGAAGGGTTACCTTGTCAAACTGCCGAAGAAAGGAGACCTCAGTGCTTGCAAGAACTGGCGCGGAATCACTCTCCTGTCCACCCCAAGTAAAATATTAAGCCGCATCATCCTAGAGAGGCTTAAAGACGCACTGGATTCAAAACTACGACCGGAACAGGCAGGCTTCAGGAAGTACAAATCATGTGCAGACCAAATTGCAACGCTAAGCATCATCATAGAACAGAGCATAGAATGGCAATCAGCTCTCTACCTCAACTTTATCGACTTTGAGAAGGCCTTTGACAGCGTCGACCGTGAAGTAATTTGGAAACTGCTTCAATACTACGGAGTACCGCAAACCTTTATCCGCCTCATTCAACAACTATTGAAAGATGCTACATGCCAAGTAATCCACAATGGGAAGCTCAGTGATGCCTTTGAAGTGAATACAGGAGTGAAACAAGGTTGCCTACTATCCCCCATGATATTCCTGATTGTGGTCGACTGGATCATGCAGCAAACAGTAGGCAGCTAGAAGAGGTGGATCCACTGGACGACGGAAAAGAACCTAGAAGACTTGGATTTCACCGATGACTTATGCCTAATGTCACACAAACTTGAAGATCTACAGGCCGAAACTAACAAGTTGATAGAAGAGGCAGCTAAGACGGGACTTCAGGTGAATATAGAGAAGACAGAAGTGATGAAGATACCGCACCACACCACCATCAACAACAACAACAAACTCCAATCACCGTCAACGGGAGAAACTTGAAGGAAGTAACCTCCTTCACTTATCTAGGAAGCACTGTTTCAACTACAGGCGGGTTTGTTAAGTAGCAAATAATGAGTGAGTTTGAAGGCCGTCCTGGCAAAGACTAAAACAGCCAATCATGTTTCTTTATTTCTGCTAGACAGGCAGATTGTCATAAAATAACCAAGTCTAATTGGTTATTGCAATTGTTGTTAGGATTGTCCTTAGAGTTCCTGAAAATAACCAAACGGATATGCAAAAACTCTTTCAAACAAAAACTGTTTGGTATGAAGTAAAACACATAGTTAAGATAAATATGGCTCAATAAAATTAATGATAAGCATGAAATTTAGGAAAACCTCGCAAACGACTGGTGAAAATTGTTATTAATTAGTTCTAAGCTTAGAGTAGGGTGAAACAGACTTCAGAACTCCAGTTAAAATTAATCAGATTATTAGGAGTTAAAGCAATTTTCAGAATAGTGATTGCATTAATTCAAGCATGATATTCAGACAAACAATAAAAAAACCATTCACCACCCAGATAACTCGTTGTTTGTAGGTAAATGATAGACAGATAGACAGACATGCAGCGATAGTAATTGACTTGTATACTGCATATTTTGTGATTATATGAATACTGAAAATACTTTTTGAATTGATACTTCAATTATTTAACAGACAGGGCAGTTAACCATCCGCATTAGAAACTCTGTCGATTTACTGGCGCGTGAAACAGTTGATTATCATCACACAGTTTCTGAGTCAAATGCACGTACAACTGAGACTTCAGTTGGTTGGAAGTAGTTAACAAGAATCCCGATTCCCCCCTGAATAGTTCAGTGGAAACGTCGCTGACTACAACACTGGATGAAGCGGGTCTGAACCTCACAATGAACATCACTTCTCTCAAGGTTGCAGATACGCCTTGCTGACGAGTGCTAACAAACTTGAAACTTGGGTCGGACAAGAATTCCTGCCAGTTGTCTTCAACCAACTAGCATCCATCAAAAGTGCACTGTAACGCTAAGCCTTCTAGCTTAGTGGTCCCATTACAAAGTGGTCGACAGAATTCGAGCAGCACTCAGGACTAGAAAAAGTGAAATCGGTCGCTCTTCCATGACCAATCAATGTACAATTGAGACTTACTTTCCTCGTCTGTCTTGTTAGTGTCAGTACACAATCACAACTGAATAATTAGCTATTATCATAGATTATTATGATGCATGAATCATGCACATGAGCATATCCTTTATTCGCAAAGTAAGTTAAAAAGCTGCTTTCAAATATAAAACTAGATATTATTCATGCCTTCAAGGTTAATTAATTCAAAATCAGACCTCAAGGTCATGCACTGCATGCAGATCGTCACACACACACACATGCAGGTAAGTAAGCAGATTATGACCTTAGACGTAAAATATGATTGGTTCAAATTATTGGATATAATATTGAATATATTGAATTCGCTAGTCAGTGAGTGCAGTGAACTACAATGATTATTCTAGGACTGCACAACGTAGCTAGTTTTTGTGAACGCCTTTGAGAAGTAGTGACAAATACAAAACTGCCGTGAAAGCCAAAATAAATACTTTTTTTTAACGAGTTCATGCATCCGAATCCCGTTTAGAAACAACAGTTTATGTTATTTTTTGTTTAGTTATTAACTAACCTTCTTGCATTTGGAGACATGAAAATACTTTAATATTATAATAAGCAGAAAAAGTGTTTGGTTAGGTCATGTAGAAAAATGCATGTATTTTATACAGAAAAGAGGAGCTAGTTAAATACAATCCAGCTGGTTTTGAAAAAGCTTGATTTTGATATAAACAATCCAAGAAACTGGTTGAAAACCTGCTTTCTTTTCACACTGTTGACTCATTCATCAAAAACTAGCATGGTCAGTAGTTTTCATGTTACAATGGCGATAACTGTTTTTGAGAAGAAAAGTAACTTCAATACTTGCGGACAATGAATGATATTAACTGAATATTAAGATAAATAGATTCGAGGAAAAGACCTAGCTAAGGGTCCGACGTGACTATGACGAATGGATAGTGACGTATCACAGATTCACATGGGAGCCGAAAGAAACTCTTGGTAAGTGAAGTGAGCTTAAAGCTTAATTAACAGCTGGATCTCATAGTTCAATTGATAGAGCACTTGGTCGGTAACCCGAAAGTTGCTAGTTTTAATCCTGTCACTACTTGGGTGCTCATTTCACCTTCAGTCATCAGTTAATGTCAACACTCATAAATATTTTTGAATTTTAAGTGACTGAAATAACAAAATATTGTGTTCCGATTCTATGTTCCTATTTTAGTTAACACTGTTGATTTATATGTTTGCTAACTGTTAAGTAATGCGAATGTTTTCACTTTGTTGATACCTTCATTTTGATAGTGACGAATATTAGCTAACAGTGATATCTATGGCACACCTTTCATCCTACTTGGGACTCATCAACCGGATCTGTTTCTCCCGCTGAGACTTGGATATAGTAACCAACAATGAGTCATAATTATGTATCCTGACTTCCACTGCTCATTACCGTCCATTACTGTCATATCGTCAGTCGTCTTACTTCAATGTATAGAATTCCTTGTAAAATGATAGTATTTGTATGCAGGAAACAATTTTAGACACCAGATAAATTCAGGGAAATATTGTTGAATCACTTTACAGCTTATTTTGCTTTACTGCGAAATCCACATTTAGTAGAAGTCATAGCATTTGTATTGAATTGCTGCTACCTAGACAGACATGTGAGAAAGTGCATGATCATATGTCAGATGTAACAATATTCTCATTGGTTATTGTTACGTCATATGACCTTGACCACTACTATGAATCCTATTGGCTGTCTTTTAATTACAGCTGAGTCTATGCTACTATGACTACGTTAGTGTAAATAGAAGTTTCTAAAACTGTGATTGATGGAATTGCAGGAAATATACGCATTACATTTACAATCGTTGTTCTCCTTGGATCATTCTTAAGTACCAGTTCAAGTGAATAAATCATAACTGCGGATAAATTCATTTCATAGTCCAATTCTAAAAAGAGTATGATATTAAACAGTGTCGAATTATTGGATGAAAGTATTCACTAATGGTATCAATAAGGCCAGTCAACAGCGTGCACTCACAAACACATATAAAGCCAACAGGAATTTAAACATCAATTGTAATTATAATAACGCCAATAAAACGGGAAGCAATACTAAGCGCAAATATTACTGAGATTACTCTCACACATACACATACAACGCATAGAAAGCAAATACTAAGCAAACCAATGATTATGCATGCAAGAATGCCATCAGCCTTGAAGAATATAGAATATAATCCACACAGAACATTAGGAACAGAATCAGGCGAAATGCAGTTTAGCTAAGATACAAAAATAATACTGGCAATATTAACCATAATAATTAATGCTCATACTTTCTTCAGCTTGAAACTACTCTCCTAGACAAGAGGAGGGGGAAGAAGGATAAAAAAAGACACTGGTAATAATAATGACACGCTGACTGCAGATAATGAATAAAATCACACAATTAATATATATATATATATATATATATATATATATATATATATATATGAATGGGGATTTTTAATTTAGAGGTAGTATTCATGACGGACTGACATCACTTAGGGAACCACTGAAAACCTGGAAGCACTGGACAGTTGTTTAGTTCTAGTATGGGACTCCTCGCCAGTACGCACCCACGACCCGCTTAGGAATCAAACTCAGGACCCTCGGGTTTCAGGGCAAACGCTCTAACCATCCAACCACTGAGTTGAAATTCACTGGTTCACAGTTTCCAACTTCTGTCAGTTCACGATATAGCGCTACTATCACCCATGATCTTCAGTTGGCATCCGCTTCACTTCACAAAGCTCTAATGAGAAGCCAAGACCTGTGGGGTCAACAGACGAATCTTTTGGAACTGAGTATTCACTATTATCCAAATGTTGCAATAATGGGTGTTAGCTGCTCTGCGTTAACCTTTACTGAGCCATACTGAAAGGTATTGATGTCGATGTTGAACAGTCTACCTCTGCATAAAGCCTAAGTGCCTAGCTCCACAGCAGAATTGACATATACACAATGAAGTGAGTAACAGTGACGGTTGGTCCTTCGTAAACGTGTTCACCATCGGGCAACTGGGAGGAGTGATTTACAGAGTGGTTGCATGGAATGTTTTTTTGACAGCCTTTGTTAGTCCGGGTTTCTGCCCTCATCTGCTGCATCTCCAGTGAGTTCCAAGCTCAAAATTAACCTTTTCTTCTCCACACTGATGGGAAGCTAATAGGTAGTACTCCGACATCAGTTTTTACCCATGAATCTCCCAGGATATTCCATTTGCGATGTACATCTATCTTAGAAGTTGCATTTTGTCTTCTAAAATACAAATCCGTTGGATTCCAGGAGAAACGGAAGGGATTCAATTTATTCTAACTGAGTAATTTCATATTTCCTACATGACTTCCCTCTCTTCCCATATCCATTTTGTTGACCACAACCTACTAAGAATTATTGATTGATAAACCATATTTAATCATTTAACTATCCGAGGTAGCCGTAGTTTGACAGACTAGTATTTATACTGGCTGGTAATTGAAGGTGAGATGAAATCTGAACCGCAGCCGGCCAAACTATGGCCATCTTAGATAGTCAAATGATAATTAATATCATGTTCTCCCTCTCTGATTCAGTTACATTTGGACTGAGATAATAAATCCTGAGTAGACAGCCAGTGTGAATACGATCAAACGGTAGTAACGCGTCACAAATTCACATGGTAGTCGGGCAAACCCTCGGTGACTGAAGTGAAATAAAAATTTGGTTAGCAGTCGGACCTTATAGATCAGTTGGTAGAGCACCAGGTCGGTAACCCGGTGGTCGATGGTTGGAATCCGACAGCAATCCAGATTTTCATCGCAGCTTCAATCACCATCCAGTATAAACTATATTCGCACGTTTCTTTGAATTTTGACCAGTTTTTTCTTTATTCCTAATTCATCTTATTACATTCTCACTTGATGAGCTGATATGATATGCGGCAACTTGGATGGTTACTTGGGTATTCCCAGGTCGCATGTTGGCACTATCTGCTTGAATAATGATCCTCATGGAATTCATCACGACTAGACCTCATCTAGAGAACTATTGAAAACATGAAAGCACTGAACAGTCGTTTTGTCCTAACACTTGACTGCTAGGCAGTGTGGACCGAAGACTCTCCCACCCCCAGCAGGGCTCGAACCCATGACCTTAAGGTTCTGCAGTTAATATGCGACTATTGAGCTGCCAGGTCAGTTCGCGATATAGCGCAACCTTCATCTAGTGCCACCGTTGAGTATTTGCCTGTGGCGAATACCAAATTGAAATCAAATCTCCACAAAGCTGCAATTGAATTACTGTCTGGTGCCCATTGGTGACTAGCTTCTAGATGAGATTTCCTGAGTTTTTAATGGGAAGTCATGACCAGTGGGGACAACTTAGTTGGGTGTGATGACAGATACTCGACGAAGGCATTGGATGGAGGTCACGCTATATCTGATCCAGAAATGGACCAATCAAAATGTGCTTTCTGTTGATCGCGTTTACAGTTAGATTGGTAAATAATGGATCAGACAGTTAGCAGTATTATTGTAAAGGGCAAACTACCTATATATTTAGATATATACTCATTTGTTTATTGACTTCGAGTCTCTGGCGTAAATACGTGTTCCTACACGTTTCATTGTGTCTTCTCTAATAACTAGTCAGGTGAGGAATCAGCTAGAAAGTCATGGAAGGCTAGTGGCTGATAGATGATATTCGTGCATTGTTAACGGCTATGGCAGTTTGGTATCATAATACCCATACAAGGACAAGTAAGTTATTCTGTACTCCAAGACTTTCAATGGATTTCCAAATGATTTCTGTTCATGATGACTACCAACTTAGAAACTGCTTCAGATAATTTTTCTAAAATTCTCTGTTAGATAGTGATAGATAAAGATATCACTGAAGAAAAGATAAAATTTATTTTGACCTACTTGTCCGTTATTCTAGTAGCCTAATCAGAGTATGAAGTGTTTATTTTGATATAAATGATGACTTTAAATATCATTGACTATCATGGTCTGGCCAAGCTAACTAGTTCACTAGTTACTAACCGCTCCTAAGCCCAGATAAACAGGGAAGGTTTGGCATAGGGCTAGCAACCCTACCACGTAGAACCAATCCAACTGCTACAGAAATTTCAAAGCACAGACAAAATATAATGATTAAAAACAAACTTATTCCTCGATAGAATCGGAGAGACAAAATGACATTGGTTGGTGAAAGCTTTAAGAAGGCATTCGGCCGACGTGTCTTCGCCTCTCTCGATGAAACCAAAAGTAAACATGGGGACATGGAATGTCCACACCATGTATGAACCTAGCAAGGCTTCCCAGATTGCCGAGATGAGAAGGTTAGCACAGAAGTGCTATGCGAAGAATCTGCGGAAGCAGATGGAATGGAAGTAGACTCTCTCAACTGTCAACTGAAAATTCGAAAATCTACTCCGATATTGTCGCCCAGAGGACAACCAGGAGCACACGAGTTTTCGAGTGGCCATCGTGATGTCCCAACAGCATCGAAGACTCTCTCTCTCATGCAGTGGGAAATTATCTTCTACAAGATCAGGATCATAACAGCAAGGTTCAACTCAAAACGAAGGAAAGTCACAGACATACAATACTACACTACGCTACGCACCTACAAATAATGCAGATCAAGAGAAGAAGGAGGAATTCTACAAATAACTCCAATCAGTACTGAACAAGACCCCACCCAGATGGCGATAACAAAATTCTAATGGGTGGGATGACATGAATGCCGATCTGGGAGCGGACAACACAGTGAGAGAACTGATCATGGGTCGAGATGCACTCGGTGAAGTGATGAGTGAGAATGGAGAACTGTTTGCAGACTTCTGCACATTCAACGATTTAATGATTGGAGGTGAGGCAGTGTGTACAAACACAAGGATATTCACAAGGCCATGACATGGATTTGATTTCACCACATACCAGGACACACTACACTGAAAATCAGATCGACTTCATCTGAATGTGAAGAAGGTGGAGACACAGCCAGCCTAGTGGACACAAGGTCAGATCAAGAAAGGGAGCAGATGTACGTGGTTCACACTACTTACTCAGTATCTAGTGCAAGGAACCTACATTCAAAATCAAGTTGAAAGCCTTGAAAGAAGTTGGAGACAGACCACAGTTCAGTTTCAACACCTAGAACAGAAACTGAACTGAAGGATGAAACCACAAAGGAAATCTTCACTTTGTCAGCCATCAGGACAAAATGGGAGATATCGAACAATATCCCTGAAGGATCGGGCTAAGAAGAACACTGGAACTCTTTGAAAGCTATGTGTAAGGAAACCTGCATAACCGTATTAGAAATGAAGAAGAAGTGGCAAGATACGGATTGGATCTCGGCGGACACATGGAAGCTGATAGAGCAGGGAGAGGGGGATGGTGAAACAGAAGATGAACCAGTGCAGTACAGTGCAGTGCAGTGCAGTGCAAGGATGAACAAAGAAAAGAGGAACTGAACTCTACACTGGATAAAGAAGTTGAGAAGAGTGCTCACAAAGACAAAAGACACTTCTACGACACAATTGCAAGTGATGCAGAACAGGCTGCAGGTAGGAGAGACAGAGACCTGACAGCACTATATCAAATGCCCAGATTACTATCTGGGAAGAGATCAATGCAGATGAAATCAATGAAAGATGGTGAATGAAAGCTAATTACCGTCAAAGAGAAGCAAAGGAAAAAGATGGGCTGACCACTTCAAAATACTCCTGAATCGACCACCACCATCACCTCTAATTCGTTCAGAAATGACACCAGCTGCCCAGCAACAGAATTACCAGTGAGCACAAGCCTTCCGACGAAAGGAGAAAGCAAAGTCCTGAATGCCATAAAGTTGCCTGAATCCGGGAAAGTAGCAGGACCAGATAGAATTCCTCCAGAAGCACTGAATATGGAAGCAGAGACAGCAACGGACAAGCTCACACCACTATTGCAGAAGGCGTGGAAGGAAGAAAAGGTACATAGCCAACTGATTGGAAGAAGGGCTACCTTGTCAAACTTCCAAAGAAGGGTGACCCAAGGCTTTGGAAGAACTGGCGTGGTATCATGCTGCTCTCCACCCCAACCAGCAAAATATTATGCCGCATCATCCCAGAGAGACTAAAGGATGCTCTGGATTTAAAATTATGACCGGCATAGGCCGGCTGGCTTCACGATGTACAAATCATGTTCAGAACAAATTGCCACGCTACACCATGCATTATCATAGAACAGAGCATAGAACAGCAGTCGACTGAACTCAAACTCAACTTCATCGATTTTGTAAACGCCTTCGACAGCGTCGATCCAGAAGTAGTCTGGCAGTTGCTTCAAAA